AGACATTTCTGTGGTTATCTGGCCAGCATGACTAAACGCCAAAGGCACATGGAACACTGTTTCCTTCCCACCAAAGGTGGTTCCTATTTTTCTACTTGCATTTTTACATGCTTTCAAACTGCTAGATTGGCAGAAGCTGGGACAAGTAATGGGAGCTCACTCCGTTATGCAGCGCTAGGGATTTGAACCTCCAAACTGCCAACCTTTCTGATCGACAAGCTCAGAGTCTTAGCCACTGAGCCACCACGTCCCTCAAACAGGATTTAGTATAAACCTTTTTCTGGTTTGGACTAGAAAGGCAATTTATGCATGCATATCTAAGAAGGTCTAGAATTTATTTTGATTATTACTCAAGTGTACGAGATTTTAAATAACTACAGGTAGTCTTTGATTTACAACAGTTTGTTTAGTGAAGGTTCAAAGATATTGGCAATGCTTTACAAGTTGCTATCGTCATCTTCTGGGAACTTCACAGGTATACCACCACTGAAAAAAGGGATTTACAACTGTTTTTTCACACTTACGACTGTTCACGGCATTCTCATGGTCACCTGATCAAATTTCAGGTGCTTGGCAACTGACTCATATTTATGAGGGTTGCAGTGTCCCCGGGTCTTGTGATCAGCCTTTGTGATCTTTTAACAAACAAAGCCAAGAGGAAGACAGATTCACTCAACAACAGTGTCACTAACTTGACAATTGAAGTGATTCCTTAACAAATGTGGCAAGCAAAGTCATAAAATGGATCAAAGTGTACTTAACAACTGTCTTGCTTAGTAACAGAAATTTCAATTGCAGTCATAAATCGAGGATTACTCTTATTGCTATTGAAGCTCTTCCCATACTTCCTCGGCTGATATGGCTTCTCCTGTGTGTGGATCCTTCTGTGGTAATTAAGAGCATTACTCCTTGCAAAGCTCTTCCCACACTCCATGCATTCATATGGTTTCTCCCCTGTATGGATTCTTTTATGGGATGTGAGATCACAAATCCATCGAAAGCCCTCTCCACATTCCACACATTGATATCGCTTCTCTGTTGTATGGATCCTCTTGTGGGAATTAAGACTACTGCTAAAGCTAAAGCTTCTTCCACACTCCTTGCATTCATATGGTTTCTCCCCTGTGTGGATCCTTTTATGGGAAGTAAGATCACAATTCCACCTAAAGCCCTCTCCACAGTCCACACATTGATAGGGCTTTTCTCCTGTGTGGATCCTCCTGTGGGAGTTAAGGTAACTGCTATGAATAAAGGTCTTTCCACACTCCATGCACTTATATGGNAGGGCGCAGGACGTCATGTTCCATGCGGGTCTGGGATGATGGGCATTAGGTTAAAGAAAGATTCCCTCTGACATTGTCTATCTAGAAAGGAAGTGGCATCTCCAGCAGGCGTCAGTTTCTAGGTTTTCCTCCTTTTAACATCTAAGAACCACCTGTGATTTTGTGAAGTTTGAGAAAATCCTTTGTGGAGACTCAAAAATCCCTGTCCCAAAGAGCAGCTTCTCTGAAGGGTCTGCAGGGATTCCCAGAAGACATAAAAAACGAGCAAAATCCTGTCAGAAATGGCAGGGCGGTCAAAATACAAGGAACAAAAGTCTCTCTCTGAAACCCAGCCTGTGTCTTGTGGCTGATGGTCAACTCAGCCATGAAGCGAGGGAAGATCAGGGGGCTGGCAGAGACGCAGGGAGGAAAGCGACAGGTTGAAGAAAATTAAGATTTGTATTGATTTTTCTTTACTGAGTTCCATTATTACAGCTGCCTTTTCAAATTCATGCCTTTGGGCAGCCAAGGAAGTTTGGAAACAGTAAAACCAGCCTGTAATAACGGGAATAATCCTGAAGAATAGATCCTGATGAAAAGTACCAAAATGGAGAGAAAGCTCAAATTTGTGGACCTTTAAAAAATTTTATCTCAAAAGAAGCCGCCATGATGTAGAAATGAAGACTGAGAGGATAAAGTCTCATATGTGATTAAAGAAAAAGTGGAATTACAAAATGAAGGAAGGCAAATACTGAAAAATAAATATAAAGCTCAAATACTACAAGGCAAAAGAGCGAGAGGGGGAGGGAGGGAGGGGGGGAGAGAGAGAGAGAGAGAGTTTTGTAATACCTTTGGAGTAAGAGTATTTTTTTCTAGCCAAAAGTAATAAAGATTTCCTTCCTCTCATTCTCGCTTATTTTGTCAGAGGAATTCTTCATCCTGAAGATTTTTCCACACAGGATACATTGATATATCAATATATATATATATGACAACCAATCTATTGGGCTGTTATTTATTACCGGTATTTATTTAATTTGTATGCACAGATCTTGCAGTTCAAAGCAACTTTAAAAGTGACCATGGATGTGTGCTTTCAGACTTGAACCATTCTATTAATAAATGAGCCTATCCAGCCATGTGTCCTCTCTGATCACTTTGGAGGACTGACAGAACATTGTTGTCTTTTGTGTAACTGATTTCAAGTTGCCGTGTGATTTCAAAACCCCCATGAAGGCCTCTCCAAACATAACCCATTTGTAATTGATAATCAGCCCAAAGTTCATTAACTACATAACTAGAAAGAAATTTTACCAACTGTACTTAATTTAATCTAAGGCTACGGGTGCATGTGTCAAAAAATCCACTTTAGCTTTTGTCTGGGACAGGAAAACAGAACTTGGCACCTTTGCTGGACAAAAACTTTGGCATGTGCATTTATAGGACTTTTCACCATTGTAGCTCCTTTTCAGAGCTCTCCCTTTGAGGCTTCTTCCTCTTAAATAATAGGCTGAACAGATCCCTGAAAGGGCAATTAAGGCCCTTTAGCTCCACTGATACTCCTGTTTTAGTTCTAACCTCCTACTTAGCAAAAACCACGAACAGGATTTAAGATAAAGGTAAAGGTTCTCCTCGCACATATGTGCTAGTCGTTCCCGACTCTAGAGGGCTCATCTCCGTTTCAAAGCTGAAGAGCCAATACTGTCCAAAGATGTCTCAGTGGTTAAGTGGCCGACATGATTAATGCCAAAGATGCACAGAACACTGTTACCTTCCCACCAAAGGTGGTTCCTATTTTTCTACTTGCATTTTTACATGCTTTCAAACTGCTAG